GATAGCGAACAAAGGTGGATGTGTAACAGTTGATACTGAATTGGTGATTGGCACCAAATTACACCTATCCATCGGTCAGAAAGGAGAATCCCCATGTGATCCTTTTGTTAGGAGTTCTATGGTGGGTTAGGATCTGTCGCTCCAAGATATTGTAAAATTAGAAGTATCGTCTTTCTTATAGGAAAAGGAGATTACAAAGCGACTATGCAGCGAGCAGCGTGATGGGGATCGACTCAACGTAAGTTGACACCTATCATGTTCACTTTTAATGCGAAATGGTGGTTAAGCATATAATAGGAATGTGCGCAAAAGGGAATTTGAATTTCACGTAAGTTGTTAATATATGGATTGTCGTGGAGCGAAAATATATCTAGCTGACACGAGTCGTAGAAAATTATGGGTCCTATGAAATCAAATATTATTTCGCATTTATGTTTAAAATCACTGATTGTACACATTTCACTTCTCAAAATCATCTAAATTATCATGGTATAAACTAGCGGATATAATTCTGCAGACTTCAGAAAAATATTTTTATTGTTCCTCTTTTTCTAAAGAACGACTGAACGAGCTATAGAGTAAGGAAAATGTCTTTCGTTAAAAACTCCTTAATGCCACATGAGCTATAAAATTATCATTAGAAACTCCTTAACGCCACTGTATCCCAATAGGAATACTTGTCCACTACCTTTCTTTTGCTCCTAGAATAGCCATTTAGAAGAGGGAAATTTCGCTTGTGAATACGCGTGTTCTTGCATTTCAACAACCTCAACTTCACTACCGGAGTGCGTTTCTCAAAGCTGGCTGTCTTGTGTATAGAGAAGTTGAAAAATAGGAACTGAAGTCTTGTTTCGAGTTTGATTACTCAAACAAATTTTTTCTCAAAAAAAGGGAGATTTAAGCCGTGCAATGCTTAGGCAGCCGAATGACATTATGAATGGTAGCTCTAATTGGCAGCGGCGATAGGCGCAAGCACCCACTTTTGCAAAGTTTATCGTGCTTTCAATCTAATTTTGTCACTCATCATTAAAATGTAGACGTATGCTAATAATTCTTTACCGCACGTTGGCGGAAAATTTTCAAACTTTAAGTTCAAATGTAAATGCCGATTTAATGCGAAATTGGTGTAATAGAACTTTCAGTTGCCGAGATATGTACAACAATCTTCTTACAAAACTATTTTAAAAGGCATTGCTACAAAGTTTGGGTAAATTTGCAGCATAATTACAAAAAAAAATTTCTCTATAGGAAATTCATGATGATGTTTTGATCTCTATAATTTTTTCGTGATCTTAACAAGCTTAAGAAAGTACTAATAGGAGTGAAGAAGGATTTGCTTACGTTTGTGCACCGAGCTGTGCAAACGCCACAGCTGCCGCTAACAATAGCTATCGTTTATAA